AATTTAGATGCACTGTTATCAGTTGTGCTTAGCCAGACATGTTCATATCCTTGAAGATGTATCATGGAAGTGTTGCAGCCTAGAAGACACAAATTTAACAAGTTAAAAGTACATGAGTCAAAAATTAAAAAGCAGCAATATTCCAAGTAGAGGTTCTAATCGTGGCACAAATCAAGTTACAGAGGGAAGGTAGTTCTTACAGTAAAAGGCCTATTGACTAGCACTTTGTCTATTATAGTATAAAGGTTCGGAACCACAAGATGTACTCAACTGTGTCATTTAATTGTTCTTAAGTCCTGGAGCAGATTCCATCTACCACTGGGTTGTTTTACAACTCGGAAGTCCACATGCAAGGCAGAGATGAAGTAAGGAATTGCTTATGAGGTTTTCCGTCAGTTCCAACAACTAAGAAATAGTGAGAAGAGTTGGGACCTCAGAAGGCTTTTAGGACCAAATGGTAGGCTCTTCTGTCCAGGAGAAAACGATTTACTTACCAATAATGTTAATGCCCACCCACAGCTCTTCTGGGAGGATCTAAATTGTTGAAGCGTCATAAAACTTTTTAAATTATGGGATCGAACCTAAAACCCAGATAAGTGCTCTTTAGGCTTAACTGCAGTAACTGGAATTTGTTTTTTATTTAAATTTAAAATTATACATATTTGAACAGAAGTTTTATGGCTTAGAAAACTCTGTAACCATAAGAGAATAGCAATATTTTCTGTTTAGAGATAAGGAAAACAAGGCTTAGAAAGATTGACTTATCCAATCTTCTTTGATTTGTGATGAATAGTTGTGACTAGAAATCAGCCCCATTCTGTCCATTGTTAAACCAAGCTATTGGTAGACAGTGTCTTAGGAGGTGCCAGTCTCGAACTTACACTTATCCTGAATCTTCACCTCTGTAATTGGCAAGAATGTTTTCAGATTTTAGAAAATAACAGACTTCTTCCAGATCTGGGTTTATAGACCACAAGAACACTGGTCCCCTTTGTGGAATGCATAACTTGAAACATGCTGTTTGAGAGCCTGAGCAGTAGTAGGTCTAGAAAAAAGGCTGACAGGAGTCCAAGTAAGAGTTGGGGCAGCAGCCAAGACCGAGGCTTGGACTACATGAGAACCTGGAACTTGACCTTTGGCAGGAGCAGACAGTCAACCCCATTAGATGGTAGCAATAGATTGAGACCTTTGCTTAATTTTTAAGGCTTATGCTGGGTACTTTACAGTGTTCTCTGGGCTCAGCACAACACAGGGCAGAGCTCAGTAGTAAAATATTCAGTAAATACACATTGTCGTTTATTAATATAATTAAGCAGAACAGTTATAAATTCCTTTTATTATCTCTTACTGGTCCAGCAAGAGACCTTTGAAATTAATATATTGCTAGTGGTAAGGAACTGAGTTTCCAACCCAAAGGCATACGGGTCAAATCCACTAGCTATTTTGTGTGGGAAAGATAGGCATTCTCTCCCTGTACAATTAACTGCCTCTGAAAGCCCATTGGAGGATCGGCTATGATAATTTCTGACTCAACGTTACTTAACAACTAGGTGACCTAGTGGGTAGGAAGTATGCTGCCAGGTTTTGATCAACCAGCTGCTACATGGGAGAAAGGTGGGCAGTTTCCTCTTGTACAGTTAGTTGTTGTTGATTGCTTTTGAGTCGAGCACAACTCATAGCGACCCTATAAACAAAAGGCCTGACGCTTCTCTACAACTATCAACATTTATCAAAGTTCATAAAGTTTCCAGAGGTATGTTATTTAGGAAGTAGATGCCACTCCTTCCCGCTTGGGGGTTGTCTGTGAGTTGGTTTTGACTTGGTGGCAGTGACTTTTGATTTTGGACTAACTTTGTTCAGAGAATGTGTTAAACCACAGATGCCAGCAGTTAAATTGGCTATTTCCCTTCAGTTGTAAGAAATGACACTGCATCCAGGATGAATGAGAACAAGGATTTTAAGGTAGGGCCTGAATCCCATATTTTTGAAAGAAAAAAAAAAGTCACCTGGAAGGCTTATTAAAACACAGATTGTTGGTCCCACACCCCAAATAGTTATTGGAAATACTCAAGCATTTCAGCTTTCATAGGTTGGGCTAGAGGCCAAGATTTTACATTTCTGTCAGATTTTTAGATGGGGTTTGCTGCTGCTGTTCTTAATGGTCCTGAGATCACACTTTGAGTACCATTGTTTTAGGAAAATAAAATTGGTGTGGTTAGTTCCTCCTGATGAAGATCCTCACAGAGGTGGAAAGGGAACAAATGTTGGAGCCTCACTGCTGTGCCCGTTCACCTGGCCTAGTGATTTATAACCATTTGACTAAACCTTAGAAGCCTCTGCAGTTTAGTCCTCATCTGTTTTCTCCCTTAATATATAAATATTAAAAATTAATGAACTAATTATTAGTTGAAGGACAGCTTTTTCTTTTTTTTTTTTTAACTTAACCCATACTTTATTCATAGTTCCTCATTTTGGGGTCCTAATGATCTTTTTTTATCATACTTTTAAAAATTTTTTTAAAAATAATTTTAATGAGCATTTACAGAGATTTTGGATTTCCCTTCATTCATTGCTGCACTTCTCTCCCCCCTCCCCCCTCCCCAGGTCACTCCTCTCTTTGAAAAGTAAAATAAACACTCTCTCCCTGGTACACAGTCCCCTCCCCTGCACGCCTCCCCTCGCCCCAAGTACATTCCACTCTGCAACCTTAATTGGGACTCTTGTGATAACCATAATACCCTATCATTCATCACTTTTAAATTATTCTCTCTCTCATCTGTTGCAGTATACACAATTTATCCAGTTTTTCTCAGTCTTACCCCAACCCTGATATCAGTCCCATTTTATAGCAGTGGCACCATGCAATATTTGTCCTTTTGTGACTGAGATATTTCACTCAGCATAATGTCCTCCAGGCTCACCCATCTTGAATAATACTTCATGAGTTCCTTGTTTTTCAATGCAGCATAGTATTCCATTGTGTGAATATACCACAGCTTCTCTATCCATTCGTTTGTTGATGGGCACCTGGGTGGACAGCTTTTTCTTAACAAATAATATTCACATATGCCATTAAGAATATGATTTTATTTAGTGTAGGGAAAAAATGTTAAATTCCACTGCTGACTTATTATGTATTTATTTCTTGTAGATTTATGAGATGGAAAATAGGTTCATTAAGTAGAAATGATAATAAATGTGGAGACGTTATATTCTCTCCTCCAGAGCAGCTTTTCTTTAAAATTGAGAATACTTTTTTCATTTCACAAGAAACATAAACTTGTATTCATTTTTCCAGTGTATCTTTAAAATGTTGCCAATTCAGTGGTTATTGACTAACTCTGTTTTAGAAAAAACAAGGGAAATAATGGTGAATTACAGAATAGTAGCAACTAAGCCTAATGAAATGCTTGGTATTATAGCCATGAGATTTACTAATGTGCTTTTTGTTAATGTAGTGTTTTTTAAATGTCAGTTTTAAAAGGAACTCAGAGAAGTTGCTTTACATTGTTTGATAGATTTGCCTAGAATTCTAAAAGAAGAAACAGAAATTAAAGCAGTTGAAGGCATTTGGGGAAGACTTGACATTTATTGTGAAAATCATCTTTGACTCTGAAATTAGAAGTAAAGCTGGAAAGAAACTTACAAACAAGGAAAAAAAGAAGTTCGGAATTGGACTCACAGGATCTGGGCTTGGAAATGCCTCAGGTATGTCATAGAAAGTAGGTGCAAACTTTCAAATTTTCTGGCTGCAAGAGGTCAGTAACATTGATCCATTAAGGTCTCCGATTTTTACATAACCTGATATACTACATTTTTAGAACATTTCCTTTTCCAATCTGAGCTGGTTTTGAGTATGTATCCTTCCTAATTCTGTTTTCTCCTACCTTGGTGTTTAATTAATTTGACACAGGGAGCATGGTAAATGAAAAGTAAGAAAGAAGGTAGAAATAAGTTGGCTTTATGAAGGCTAAAACAAAATCCCCTGAAAGTTATTCTGCCACAGAAATCTTACTTCTACTCCTGTTTCCTAATTCCTCCACTTAAGTGAGCTGAATTTAGAAGTAATTCAGAAGAAATGATGCCTTAGAGTTGTGGTGTTGGAGAAGAGTATTGAATATCTCATGGACTGCCAGGAAAACAGACATGTCTTGGAGAAATAACTTGTCAGGGCGCTCCCTGTAGGCAAGGATCACGAACCTTGATTTCACATATTTTGGGCACATTAGGAGGGTCTGGACCTTGGAAAAAGACATCCTGCTAGGAAAGGTGGAGGATCAGGGAAAGAGAGGAATATCTTCAACAAGATGGATTGATATAGTGACTGTATCAGTGGATTCAAGTATATCAGAGATGATGAGATTGGCACAGGAGAGGGCAAAGTTCAGATCCATTATTCATAGAGTCCCTATGTATTGTACTTGACTTGACAGCACCTAACAAGAAGAAGACAAGGAAATGGTTATGGACATAAATGTGTATATATGTCTCACTCAACATTCCAGTTTTTTTATATATCACATAAACTATATGTATATTGCATAAATTATGTATAAGAATTATGTCCATCTGGTGAATATTTTTAATTGATTAGCCACTCAAACAGGAAATGAAGTGCTGTTGGTCCTCATATCCACCTCCTTCCTTTTTCAGTGGTTAGCTCTTCTCCCCCTCTTTTGTTTTTAGTGCTAAGGAGAGACCTAGAACTGAAAGAATAAGGACTCTTAGGTGGCTTTCTGTGGGGCAACCCTACAGCTATGTATTGGACATATGAAATAAGATGCTAAGATGGACTACCTGATGATTCAGGCAGATAGAATCGAGGTTTGCTAGCTGACATTAGACAGACCACAGACCTACCCCCACTCCAGCCCATCTGCTAACTGGACTGCACATTTCTTTTTCTTTTCATTTTTTATTCTTATTTATTTACAAAATTTGAACACATTGTTTTTCACAAAAGATCCTTCCCATTTCCTTCATGCACATTGCTTTTTAGAATCCTTCCCCTAATCTTAGCATTTTATTTGTCATCCATTGAATATTTTAATTTAGGGTTTTAAAGTACACACTATCTGAAGCTAAATTTCTCCAGTAAGGAAACTGTTCCAGTGGAATGGGGAGGACCATTAAGAAGGTGAGAAAGTATGTGAAAAGGCAAATATGCAGTAGGCAGAAGATACAGGAATAAAGAGTGTAAGCAGATTTGTTTCCATAAAAACTTGCAGAAGAACAGAAAAACAAAGATAAATTTTAAGTCATTCAAATTTCCTTTCTTTATCTAAGTTAGATTGTAAAGTTTGAGCCACTTCAGGAGTTTAACCCCTGAATTGACTGTGGGGTAAATTGTGTAGATGTTGAAATGGAGAGAAGACACAGAGGAGCATTAACTTTCCTGCTGAGTTTTTCCTACCACAATTTTATCTATCATAGAACACGCTGTATTTTTCAGGATTAAGGCTACTGAGCTCATATCCAAGTTACTGGTCTTGCTCAAGAGATTAAGATCCTGTCTTAATCATGTATCCGGAGTCATCTCCAGCTCATTACGTTGAAATGGAACTAACTCAAAGCTAACCCTCCAGTGGATTTTTTGGAGGCTTTAAATCAAATAGCAGGCGTTGCCCATCTTTCTTCTGTGGAGCCGCTCGCTGGTGGCTTCAGACCACCAAAAGGGTGCAGCTTTTGGGTTAGCAGTCTATTGACCATACCTCTAGAACTCCCATTTTTAGTACAGTTTTTGGTTTTAGGTGCCACTGAACCACCTGTGACCCATAAACAGATCTAAACCTTGCCCTGTCCTCACCATCCTCACAGTCACTGCCTTGCTCAGTCAAGCTCGTTGTTAGAGTCACTGCCAGTCTTACCTCCTCCAAGGGTCTTCCTCTTGTTCTCTGATCCTCTGCTTCCCAGCGTGATGTCCTTTTCTTAGGACTGATCCTTCCTAGTAACATGTCCAAAGTGTATGATAGGAAGTTTCATTATCCTTTTCACGAATTTGCGTGTCATCCTTGCGCAGGGGCCATGCTAATCTTCTCTGTATCGTTCCAATTTTAGTATATGTGCTGCCGAAGCGAGCACTCATTATCCTTTTGGAACATATTGTTTGTTGTTCATTGCTGTCATGTTGGAACTGACTCATAGCTGACCCTCCAGTGGATTTTCAGAGGCTGTAAATTGCAGTCTCCTCCCGTGTGATTAACTGACTCAGAAAACCTGCTGGAGGGTCAGTGATGGGTCATTTCTAAGTTGACAGTGCACATAGAGAAGGCAGATTGTCTTCCACCTCACTTTTGAAAGTAAGACAGTAGACCTGATTTTGTTACAGAGTGAGACTAACCTGCTGCCTTTACAGATCATAAAGAATGGTACAAATTATCCAGGGTAGGAATTTGAACAGAATGTTGAGGGAACAAGGTGAATATATGTTATATAGCTAAATAACAGTACTCATTAGGTGCTGTATCTTGACACTGGTGGCTAAATAAGCTTTTGTTTCAATAAGTTAGATAGTATTAACTGTGTTACTCTGCTACTTTCTGTTTCCATTTTTAATTCATCTTGGTTATTTTCTTAATATAAATCTACAATTTAATGCTTTTTTATGTTCTTAAATGTTCTAACCAGGAGAAAAAAAAACCCACAGAATTGTTCTCTGAAAATAATAAGTTGCTTTATGGGGGTTGGGTGTGGAGCTCAAGTACAGTAATTGGTCTTGAATTAATCTAACTTTCTTAAATAAAAATGACTCTGTTATAGCCTAGTGTAAGCGGAATGGATCCGCCTTTTGGGGATGCCTTTCGAAGCCACACCTTTTCAGAACAGACTCTGATGAGCACAGATCTCTTAGCAAACAGTTCAGATCCAGATTTCATGTATGAACTGGTGAGTAACACTTCCTTAGGTTCTTTTTTAATGGATTTAGAGTAAGAATATAGTTTTTCTTTTTATTAATGTATGTTGCTGTTGCTATGTGCTGTAGAGTTGCTTGTGACTCATAGTGACCCAATGTACAACAGCTCTGAACTCTTTATCTTGAGCCAACATTGTTGTCTCTGACATACCTCCCCACTTTAACCCAGTCACTGAATCAATCCATCTCATCTAGGGTCTTCCTATCCTGTACTGTCCCTCCATCCTCCCAAGCATGATTTTTCCTCTCCAAAGACTGGTTCCTCCTTGCAGCATGCCCAAAGTAATGTATAAATGTCTAAAAATTAAAAAAGGGATGTGATTAAATTAAGTTTCATTCTTGTAATTCTAATGATTTTAAAAGAATGTATGACCCTACTAAAAATAGCAAGTTTAAAAGTTATCTATTATCTTTATAGTCCAGTTTCTGATGAGAACAGGAAGCTATCTCATGTATATGCCTAACTTCTAAAGGACTTTTCAGGTGGAAAACTAAAGGAGTGATAACACTGAACAAGTCCAGGGACTATAACATTCTTCATTAATCAAGAGAATGTCAGACAGAAATAGAAATTCTGAGCAGTATCTGAATATATTTATCACTCAGGTAAATAGAAACTTAAAATCACTTTCAAAAACATTTTAGTGTAATTCTTAATTACATATATACCTTGAACAACATGTAAGTATATAAAATCTAGACACTTAAGTTATACAAGCCTATAAATTTGCTAAAAATTACTGAATTGTACTGTTAATATAGGTGAATTTTATATAAAGTGTGTATCAGTGAAAATGTTAAAATACACAGATACACATCTGTCAGCAAACCAAAAATGTTCTTATTTCTGTCCCTCCTCCATACTAGAAAGTTAACTACTGCCAACAACTTGTTTCTATGTATATATAAACACATGAATAAACTTATTAAGTAGATGGCCCATTTATAGATGTAATACTCTGTACCTTGCCCATTTTAACTAAAGTATATGGTGAACATTCTTCCATGTTACTATTATACCTGCAGTCTTTTTATGCTTCCACAATCTTCTTGATATTTAAAATCCCGTTTCTAAAATAGGTGAGGGATTATTTTGCACCTCCTACCCGAGAAATCTCTTACAAAAGATCTTGTCCTTCTGTAGCTGAGTTCTGTTTGAATTAGTCTTTGTCTCTATATTTTTCCTAGTTAAGAAGATAGATTTTTTCTGTAATGAATGTAAAGTCTTCATTATTTTCTTCATAATTAAGGCTTTAGTGAACAAAGTTGCAAGTAAAAATCGGGAAATACAAAGTTAGTTTGTTTGTTTGTTTGTTTCAAAAAAAAAAACCTCCACTGTACTGCAGTCATTGACTTTTCACCATACTTAAGCTTTTAAAAAGGATAACTTCAAACTCTAGAACTAGGAATCTCTCAAGTGATATATTATCCCCCTCTTTAAAATTTTAAGTAGGCCTTATCTTAAAATGGACCAACAGTGAATATTGATATACCAGTTTGATACAGAGAAATAAGGATGGAGGTTAGTGTTTCTTTCCTAAAATATACTATGTGAGTGATTGTTTTTTAATTCTTCCCCAGGATAGAGAAATGAACTACCAACAGAATCCTAGAGACAGTTTCCTTTCTCTGGAGGACTGCAAAGACATTGAAAACTTGGAGTCTTTCACAGATATCCTGGATAATGAGGGTGCTTTAACCTCAAACTGGGAACAGTGGGATACATACTGTGAAGACTTAACGAAGTACACCAAACTGACCAGCTGCGACATCTGGGGAACAAAAGAAGTGGACTACTTGGGTCTCGATGATTTTTCTAGCCCTTATCAAGATGAGGAGGTCATCAGTAAAACTCCAACTTTGGCCCAACTTAATAGTGAGGACTCGCAGTCCGTTTCTGATTCCCTTTATTACCCTGATTCACTTTTCAGTGTCAAACAAAATCCTTTGCCCTCTTCATTCCCTGGTAAAAAGATCACGAGCAGAGCAGCTGCCCCTGTATGTTCTTCTAAGACTCTTCAGGCTGAAGTCCCTTTGTCAGACTGTGTCCAAAAAGCAAGTAAACCCACTTCAAGCACACAAATCATGGTGAAGACCAACATGTATCACAATGAAAAACAGAACTTTCATGTTGAATGTAAAGACTATGTAAAAAAGGCAAAGGTAAAAATCAACCCAGTGCAGCAGACTCGGCCCTTACTGAGCCAGATCCATACTGATGCAGCAAAAGAGAACACCTGCTACTGTGGTGCTGTCACAAAGAGACAAGAGAAAAAAGGGATGGGGCCTCTGCAGGGTCATGCCACTCCCGCTTTGCCTTTTAAAGAAACCCAGGAACTATTACTCAGTCCCTTGCCTCAGGATGGTCCTGGGTCCGTTGCTACAGGAGAAAGCAGCAGCCTTTCTGCCAGCACATTGGTCTCAGATTCATCCCAGAAAAAAGAAGAGCACAATTATTCCCTGTTTGTCTCAGACAGTGTGGGTGAGCAACCAACCAAATGCAGCCCTGACGAGGACGAGGAGGATGAGGAAGACATTGATGATGAGGACCATGATGAAGGGTTTGGCAGTGAACATGAACTGTCTGAAAACGAGGAGGAGGAAGAGGAAGAAGAGGATTATGAAGATGACAAGGATGATGATATTAGTGACACATTCTCTGAACCAGGTTTGTAATACTTGGGAGACTTACTAGACTGACCTAATATTATTAATATTTTTAAATAGTTTTGCTTTGGGTTTTTTTAAAAAAAATCATCATTTGAGGATTAAATGACTTAATATCTTGACGTGGATATTTAATGTTTCCCCCTCTCCCCTGGTCAAACAGCTCGAAAACAGTCATCTTTTTTGCTTGTATAGTGGTGTGTGTGCTGATTATTTATAAGTTATCTCCTAGCTTTTATTTTGTGCTTAAATGATCAGTTTCGTAACTCTCTTGACCAGCTGTTTGCCAACACATTGGTCTCAGATTTGTATCAGGATTTATTATTTTAAAGTTATGTTTGTTCATACCTGTGTCCTGCAGTTACGGTTGAGACGAGTTAGGAGTACCTAGAGAGGTGAGTCAAATGGTGGTTTGTATTACTTGTGCCTATAACCAACAAATCCTACTTCATAAATAATGTAAAGGGGAGGCTTTTGTCTTTATTTCTGTTACATATTTTATTTGTACTTATTTAAGAAAAAGTTTTTCATTCAAGAAAAATGTATGGTATAACTTAATGATCCTGAAGATAATGTTGCTTTATTTCACGTCCCCAGGTTATATGAATGAATGATTGACAGGCAACTTGTACTTGCCCTTTAGTATTACATAAATTTGATGTCACTTTGAAATAATTGGAGACTACTAGCAAATTCTTCATCACAGTTGCTCTCAGGTGCTACATGTACAGCTTTTAAATCACTGAAAATGCGTTAGGCCTTTTCTTGCACCAATTTAAGGTTAAATAAGAACCATCACCTTTTTTTACTTTGCTATGAACTTGATTTACCTATGACTTAAAGACACACTCAGGACCTGATCTTACTCGTAACTCAGAGATACTGCCTGTGTAAATAAGAGGGAGAAGACAGTGCCACCTGTAAGGAGCTAATTTATCTCAGTATCTACTGCTTGGACTTCTGCCATTATTAGCATGTCCACTTTGTTAAAAATGGCATTTCCAGCAGTACAGTTAAAAAAACACACAAAGAAGTAAAGATCTTCAGATTTTGGCAGAAGTAAATTTTTCTCAAAAATAATGTTGATGCTAATAATTTTGTACAAAAACCTGTGAGTAACTTAAGAAACTTTAAAAGTTGTCAGAGAAAACCCTTTTGTTATTATGACTATCACTGGAATTTCATGCAGTATAAACACGGTATTTCATTTCCTGAAAGGTTTTTAAGGCACAGGAGCTATATTACAGTCAGTGAGGCATTCTTACTGTTAAAATAACCTTTTTTTCTCTTTAATTTTGGTGAAATATTTTACTCTTAATTTTTAGATTTATGTATTTAATGTAACTGATTTGGGTAGCATTTCAAGTAAGCAAAAGTTATTTCAAGTTCAATATAAAAGAAAAAAACTTGGACCTTTTCTTTGCTCTTCTTTAGGACTCTGGTTAGTCCAGATAGGACAGTTGTCTTATTTACTTATCAAAAGGAAATGTTTGTTTGAGCAAATTAATAAAATCTACTTTATTTGACATGCTTCAGGGAGAGTTGTCAGGTAACTAGTGATAAGTTATTTTGCTCTGTCCTACATATAGGAGGATCATAGTGCTGTCTCTCAGAGATCCTTGAAGTCTAACACATTTGCCATAATTACTTTTAGTTCTCCATTTGAAGTTAATATAGAAGGTAGAGGAGGAGGAGGTAAAAGTGAATGAAAGGATAAGTACTAACTGAAGAAGATGGAAAATGTAGGGAAGGAAATGTCTTTACCAGCTGGTATTGATGGGACTATATGTCAAGATCGATAAACTACCATCATTTAAGTAAGCAGCCAATGAGTTTTGGTTCTGTTTTTGCTTTCCTTTGACTTTTTTTCTACTTTAGATTCATCTTGATCACCAGATAAAATGTGTTGAGAAATGAGTAGATCTCTTAAGAATTCAAGCAACCAATCTACCTCCATATCCGTTTCTTAGTCTTTTGATTCTGTGTAGGAAGAGGGAGCTAGTGTTGTAGTTGGTGTTATCTTGCTTTATCCTTCATAGAACTCTCATTAACCATCTAGTCAGAACTGACTCATAGCTGACCGTCTAACAGGTTGTCAGAGTCTTTTTGTTTTGCACTGAAGGATATTGCCAATCTTTTTCCCATGGAGCCATTGGTGGATTTGAACCACTACACAGGTGCTACATGTGGTTTAGCAATGCAATTATCTATGGTCTGTGCCGCCAGAAACCCTCAGTTATGAGCTTATTGATTGATCAGTCAGGTAGTGGCTTTGTAACAGAAAAACATTAGTTCTCTTCTTAGCCCCATCTAACAGTGCTAAATGTTCAGATGGCATTTAATTTACTCACTTCCAGTTGACTGGAAGAGAAACCCCTTTGATTATTGCTTGGAGGAGCATCACAGATGTTAATGAACATGCTTTAAACACAAAATCAACACAGTTCTATGATAGTATATGAGCTTTATTCACGTTAACTAATGAAAATTTTCCCATTGCGTGGAAGAAAGCACTAAAAAAGTAACTTGATGCAAAAGTGAATTATGTTTTTTTTAAAAAGTGAATTATTGATGTAAGGCAGGAAGAAATTATTTGAAACAGAAAAGTGGAGATAATGTTTTTTTTTTAACATGCAAGTTTAGGGGTGGGTTGAGTGGTTTAATTTGTAGTGGACAGTTTACAAAGGGCCTTTTGTGATAACTGGCTCCCTTGATGCTGTTTCTTGGCAAATGGCTACAACAGTGCCTGAGTTTAATAAGTTCCAGGAAAGGTGTAAAATGAAGCTTCAGTCCCTGTTCTGGACTGGCTCCCAGGTTTTAATAGAGCCCATTTTGTGGAAAGGCTACAACTGTTTGGGGTCATGGAATTACATGGTTCTGGGGCTAAGAATTGGGCCCCAGAATGAGAGTTTAGTTTGTAATCCTCACTAAACAATTTGACAGTTGACTTTACCAGATAAATAGTAGTGGTCTGTACTAACCATAGATGTACACTAGGCATTTTAGACAGTACATGTGGTCATTTTATTTACTTTTCATCTTCATACCAGGAAGGAATGAGAATGGGATCAGCATGGCGCTTCATCAAATGAAAATAAAAGGGAAATGACCCCATAGGAAATGTTGCATTAACAAAGTTAAGAACTGATGCTTTTTTAAAAACTTGAGTACTTGCTCTCCAATTCAGCATTGTACCTATTACTAAGTGCCTGTTCAGAGATTAGCCTATTCAGGGAGCTTTAGTGGCCTAAGTGGCAAGAAACTGTGCTGCATTCTTGAAGGCACGCAGTTCGCAGTTCGAATCTGTCAGCTGCTGTATGGGAGAAAGATGGGCAGTCTCCTCCCATGCGATTAACAGCATTCAAAAACCCACCAGAGGGTACTGCTTATGGGTCATTTCCAACTCAGTGGTATTCCACAACAACAATATTCAGAGATTAACAAAACCAGTGTGATCTTTGTCCTCATGGAACTTTCAGCTTAGTGGAAATTCTTGGAATCTTTTAATGGGTTCGTTGTGCTGTAACTTGACAAAAGAGTGACAAGATGAAAATTTCTCAAAACTTGCTCGACCATAGAACTCAATTGGGAGTGAAAGCTTATCTTATTGTCATGTTACTCTCCATATCATGCTTTTATTGTTGTTATGTGCCATCAAGTCTCCTGCGACCCATAACAACTCTGTGTACAGCAGCTCTGAACCCTGCCCTGTCCTGAGCCAGTATCACAAATTCCTACACACTAATCCCCAATTCCCCAGTCACTGTATCAATCCATCTCATCCCACGTCTTCCTCTCCTGTACTATATATACCTCCACCCTTCCAAGCATGAATTCCTTCCCCAAGGACTGGTCTTTGTTGGCCATGTGCTCAGAGTATGTGTGACGGAGCTTCAAAATCCTGGCCTCCAAGGAGAAACTTGTTTTCACTCTCTCCAAGACAGACCTCTTTGTTTTCTTGGTAGTCCATGGTATGTGAATCCAGATTATACTATGAAAAATACTTAATTAGCTTAAATGCTAGCTCATTGTAACAGGAATATAATTTTTCCTCATTCTATTTGATTATGAAAGTCTGTACTGAAAAGTAATGTTTTCAACTAGCAAGAACATACTCTTGTGTAGTAGTAATTTACAGTTTTTGCTATTAGAAGGTATTACTGTATTTAGTTAGAGAACATTGATACACCTTATAAACATTGAAAGGAATAATATAATAATAGCAAATAAAGCTGATAGTTAATTTGGGAAGGGTAGAAGAAATATGACTAATTGAACTTAAATATGGACTCTTTTGGAGGGGGGATTGCTATTGAGATCAGGTAACTTGGCAGGCATAGGGAAAGTAGGAAACCCAATTTGAGCTAGGATCACAACACTTCTTGAGCCATGAGGCCTGAATCAGTCCTAGCTCAGCCAGATCACTTAAACCCTTCTTGAGTGTGTTTGTCCAAAGTGCAGCCAGTAAACTCTTATGAACATATTTTAAGTCTAAAATGTTCTTGAGGATGTATTAAGTGATTCAGACTCATTTCCTCATTGCTGTAGAGACAGAACCAATTCAAAGTTGACTATCCAATGTGTTTTTGAGAGGCTGTAAATTGCACGGGAAGAGATTGTCTATCTTTGTCTCTCAGAACCACTCTCAGAAAGCAGAGCAACTCCCTGTGGACTGTATAAAGAGAAGCAAAGTTGATTACTGCCTGAGACAGCGTATTAACAATACAGGAGGATAAGTTGACTGAGGAGGCTATATGTACATTTTTGTGTTTGTATATTTAGGGTTATGTCATCTGACCTCATGCACTTGCTGCAGAGGGTCAAGGACTGCAGCCTTCAGTATGGACTGAGGCTCAATGTCAAGAAGACAAAGATTCTCACCACTGGACCAATTGGCAGCATCAGGATGGATGACGAAGAGATTGAGATTGTTCACAGCTTCAGTTTGCTCGGCTCCAGGGTCAACACTCTTGGCACCAGCAGCCAGGAAATCAAAAAACATATTGCGGTGGGAAAATCTGCTGTTAGGGACCTCTCTAAAGTACACAGGAGCAACAGTGTCTCTCTGGAGACTAAGGTGCACCTGATACAGGCCATCTTTGCAATCACTTTTATTTTTGCAATCACTTGTTATGCATCAGAGAGTTGGACAATGACTAGGGAGGACAGAAGGAGAATTGATGCCTTTGAGCTGTGGTGCTGGAGAAGAGTATTGAATGTACCATGGACTGCCAAGAAAACAAACAGATTCATCCTGGAGAGGGTTAAGCCAGGCTACTCCTTGGAGGCAAGGATTCTGGGGCTTCGTCTGACATACTTTGGACATGTTATAAGGAGGGACAGGTCCTTGGAGAGGGACATCATGCTTGGGAGGGTGGAGGGACAGCGCAGGAGGGGAAGACCCTCTGTGAGGTGGATTGATTCAGTGACTGGGGTAATCGGGATGGGTGTGTCAGAGGCAATGCAATTGGCACAGGATAGAGCAGGGTTTAGGGCTGTTGTACATAGGGTCGCTATGAGTCACAAACAACTCGACGGCACATGAACAACAACATATTTAGGGAGCTCTGATGGCTTAGCAGTAAGGAATTGTACTGCTTTTGTAAAGAAAGGTATATGTTTGAATCCACCAGTTGCTCTATGGGAGAAAGATGGGCAGGCTCCTGTCATGTGATTTCCTGCCTCTTAAAACTCACTGGACAGGGTCAGCTATGGGTTGGTTCTGACTTGATGATACATAAAAGCAATTTGGGTTGATAGACTTAAAAGGAAAATACTAGGTCTTGACATTAGCAGGGATATGGGAATGATTTGGTTAGTGCATCTGTTGTGTTGATGTGTACCCCACAGATAATCTCTGTGAACCTTAGTTTTGCTTGGCCCAATGGAACAAGTACCTTTTTATTTATTTTTTTAATTGAAATGTTAATGAAAGTTTATAGAGACTTTGGATTTCTATTCATTCATTGTTTCACATTTTGCAAGGACCTTTTTCAAAGGTAATTTGTGATAGAATACTGTAGACTGTGGTCCTTATTAAAAAACTGGGTTGATAATTGAACAAGATAACCCCCTTTAATTTAAAGTGAAACTGAAATACAATAGACCCAAGCTATTACTTTATGGTTTTAATAAAAATTTTAAAGTCAGAATTCTAGAAGTGTGTCACCTGGTTAGTAGGTCATTTCTTAAGAAGCAGCTAAGGTTCACTGTCACGTTACTTGCTATATTTTATCACGTGCAACAAACAAGAGTGCTCCAAGGCCAATTGACTTCTGCCCAGAGTTGAGAACTCCCTTCCTTATACTGCCTCTACCCCCTACCTTGCCCACTCATCAAATATCCTTATGCTCTTTTGTAGTAAACCCCTCCTCTACTTCCAGCCCTGGCAACCACTAATCTACTTTTTGGCTTTTTCCAGAATGCCATATAAAGGAAATCATATTCCTGATTGAGTATTACTTTGGAAAAAAAAATGGTACATGTCAAAATGTTTCAGTAACACAGATGTCATTTGTTTCTTAGTGTCACAGAGAAGTCACTTTTCAAGTGGGGAAGTGGTCATTTAGCTTGCCAGTACTGCCTAGTAATTTTTTCCCAATATCTTTAAGTTTTTAGTTGTATCTTTCCTATTCTTGATTTATTCCTTCTCCCTATCCACCTAGCTTTTCTTGGGTTACATCTAAGATGGTCTTTATCTGAGGGTGTTTCGGATTTATACTTTAGCCTGATGTTAACAATTCTAGTAGCTCAGAGGTCTGAATGCCCTCTTAGCAAGGAAAATACTTCTCTTTTTAAAAAATTAAATGGATGTTAATGTGAGCCAGAATTGGCAGACACATTTTTATTTTATTTACATTGTTTATATGAAAACAGTCATGTCTTCTACTTTTCCAAAATGGGAACTGATGAGAGAGAAATAAAAGCCCTATTTTCTCCAACATTCCCTAGTAGACACACTATGGAGATGCGTATACTTGTCTGGGAATGGTCAAACTCCTAAATACTGTGAAAAAAAGTATTTAAAACACAGTTTATTTTCTTAAGTACCATCAGTGATATTTTTGACATTCCTGTAGCTGTGTTTCATCGGTCTAAGAGAAGATATTAAAAAATTATATACTAACTTAAAAAAATCAAAGAAAACCCAAGGATTATAAATAAGCTCAATGAAGATAAATAGTGGAGTTAATCTTCAAATATTTTATTAGACATTTCCATGTTAAAAATTATTTTATATTCTGGTGTGAAAAAAATGTATATGAACACTATAAGTAAACCAGTATGAAATAAAAGTTTTATTTACAAATATTTTATAGGCCTAGTTTGTTATCCTTGGCATGTCGGTAATGTTTCTGATAAAAAGAAATATTTCCAATTAAAGTAGAAGAGGTTTTTTTAAAAGAAAATTTTCTTCCTTACTGGTTTATTGAAATTTGTGGAACTTATTGAGGGCCTTTTTTCTCCCAAGGCTATGAAAATGATTCCGTGGAAGACTTAAAGGAGATGACTTCAATATCCTCTCGGAAGAGAGGCAAAAGAAGGTACTTCTGGGAATATAGTGAACAACTTACACCATCACTGCAAGAGAGGATGCTGAGGCCATCTGAATGGAATCGGGAAACTTTACCAAGTAATATGTATCAGAAAAATGGCTTGCATCATGGTAAGAGGGCTTTGCTATCAAGTATTCAGAGTCATTCACCATAGAGCATGATTTTTTAAACTTTTTATTGGAATAGTGTGAAAGTTTGTAGAACAAATTGGTTTTCTGTTCATTATGTTTCATGACATTGATTACAACCCTTACATTGTGGCACTTTTTCCACTCCATCAGTTCCTCCTTCCTGTTCTAGTTGTCCTTTCCTATTCTTTCCTGCCATCTGAGCTTCTATTGTGGGCCTGTGCTCCCCTTTCTGTCTTGTATGTTTATTTTTCTAAGGAGTGCTGCCTTCTCTGAGTTACGGATCACTTTATCTGTCTGCCTCTTATTTGGATGAAAGTTGAGTCACTTGAGTGATTTTAGTTCCAAGCTTCAAAGGTGACTAAGGGCCATAGTCTTTAGGCTTCCATCAGTCCAGTAAGCCTGGTCTTTTATATTTTTTGGTATATTTTTAAGTCTTGTTTTCTCTTTTCACATGAGAGCATATGTATTTTAAAAAATGAGGTGTTAGCAAAGTCCTAATAATTCTGTGCAGTTGAAAGCAAGTAGGTTAGCCCTCTCTGATGGGGTGCCAACATGCTGAATTTTCTGAAAAGGTGGGCAAGGAGGGTAGTTTAAAATATGGCAATGAAAAATGTCTTTCTTATTAAATCATCTCAGCTAACCCTTTAAACCCCACTTATAGGAAAATATGCAGTAAAGAAGTCACGGAGAACTGATGTAGAAGATCTGACTCCAAATCCCAAAAAACTACTTCAGATAGGCAATGAACTGCGGAAACTGAACAAGGTGATTAGTGATTTGACGCCAGTCAGTGAGCTTCCCTTAACAGCGCGGCCACGGTCAAGGAAGGAAAAAAATAAGCTGGCTTCCAGGTAAATGACAGTGGTCAGTCATGTGAATAAAGCTGAGGCGGTTTGACTTGCTCTTAAGCTCTTAAGTGAGCTTTTATAGAAAAGATGGCACTAAACTATTTACTGGGAAATAACATTTTTCTTTTTTAAGGACTATAATGAGAATATTAGAGTTTCTCATTAAAACATAAAAATTGGTATTTATGCTTCATGGAAAAAATTTTTTTGAAGTGAGGAGAGGTGAATTGACTTAAATGTGGTATGATAGTGAAAAATTTTATTATAGCTTTATTCTGTAACTCACGGTTTTTTAGATAGAAGTTACATATTGTAAAAGAATTTTTTAGTGTAAATTTGTATTCATTAATGACAGTTAGTCTATAGCCCTTACCAATATCAAGATTATTGTTGTTGTTATGTGCTTTTGAGTAGCCTGCGACCCATAGCGACCTTATGTACAGTGCCTCTGAAGCCTACCCTGTCCTGCGCCAATCTCACTGATTCTGACATATCAATCCCCATTGCCCCAGTAACTGTATCAGTTCATCTTTCTTGTGCTGTTCCTCCACCCTTCCAAGCATGATGTCCCTCTCCAAGGACCACTCTCTCCTGGCCACTTGCCCAAAGTATGTGAGTCGGAGCTTCAAAATCCTAGCCTCCGAGGAGAAACTTGGTTTCACCCTCTCCAAGACTCTTTTGTTTTCTCGGCAGTCCATGATATGTTCAAGACTTCTTCAGCACCACTACTTGAAGGCATTGATTATTCTTCTGTCATCTTTAGTCCTTGTTTAGCTCTCTGATGCATCATATCACCTTGAATTTTTTTTTAAATTTTTTCCCCCATGTCTGTTTGTAGTAAATCCATTCTCCTCCCTCTAGCCTCTCACAACCTTTGATCTATTTTCTGTCCCTAGAGTTTGGGTTTTTGAGAACTCTCGTATGGATAGACTCACACTAGATAAAGCCTTTTGAATCTAGTTTCTTCCTTTTTAAAAAAAAATTTTATGTCCCTTTTAAACAGTTCTCTCCCTCATCTGTTTCAATGTAGTATACATAATTTATCCCATCTTTGTCAGTCTCCCTCTAACCCCGACGTCAGTCTTGTTTTACAACAGTGGCACTCTGCAGTATTTGTCCTTTTATGACTGAGATTTCACTCAGCATAATGTCCTCCAGGGTCACTCATTTTGAATATTATTTCATGAGTTCCTTGTTTAGTGTCTTACATTTAAATAGTGCATATGAGATTTGTCCATATGGTTACACATAATAGTAGTTTACACTTTTCATTATAAGTTGTAGTTTCTCTGTTAACCCAAAGGCTGAGGGGTTTTGCCCATTGGAATCCACCAGTGGCTCTGTGGAAGAAAGATGACCAATAAATATCCTTTGGTGAATTTACATCTCTGAAAACTTGATGGAGAGTCAGCCGTGAATTGATTTTACTCTGTGGCAATGAATTTGAAGTGTTTTAAGGAGCTCTGGTGGCTTAGTGGTAAGGAATTGCACTACCAAAGTAAAAGGTATGTGGTTCAAATCCACCAGCTGCTCTGTGAGAGAAAGATGAGCAGTTAGCTCCTGTGTAATTTATACCTCTGAAAATCTGCTACAGGTCAGTTCTGACTCAGTAACACTCAACAGCAGCAACAACATACAAGCATCAGTACACAGTGTTTTTCAGTTGCAATGAGAAAGTGTTTGACAGAAGCAAAATGAGTTATGTTTTGAATGTTAAAAAAAACGAACCAAAAAAAATTAACTCTCCTGTCTTCTTTTCACAGGGCTTGTAGGTTAAAGAAAAAAGCCCAGTATGAAGCTAACAAAGTGAAATTATGGGGCCTCAACACAGAATATGGTAAAGCTAAACTTCTATAAATTCAATTAAGCTCCTTTTGCTTTGTTGACCATGCTCCTTTACTTTGTTATTCTCTTTCCATTCTGTCTAGGTTTTTGGCCGTCTTTTTTTAGTCTATCCATTCATTAAGCTTCATACTCTTCCTTTTTTATGCCCCTACTTTTACTGTTTAGCTGTTAGTTGGCATGGAATCAATTTCAATTCATGGAAGAATAGAATTGAATCATGGGAATTTCAAGGATATGACCTTTGGAAGCAGATTGCCAGACTTGTCTCTCAAGGTCTTCTGGGTGGGTTTGAACTACAACCATGTGTGCTACGTAGAAATTCCTTCCCTTTTCTTGTTTGTAGCTCCTCAAACCAAATGTCATCTCCACTTTAAACAGCTGATCCACTTGTGACCACCAAAACCAAAAGCCCGACTCACTGCTGTCAGGCTAATTCTGGCTCCTGGAGAACCCTCTGTGGTGTTTCTAAGGCAGTATATCTTCATAGCAGTAGATGGCTTCATGTTTTTCTTTTAGAGCAGCAGCTGGGTTCAGACTGTCATCTTTTTGGTTGTTGTTAATGTGCCATCGAGTCATTTGCTACTCTGTGTACAACAGCTCTGAACCTTGCCCTTATCTTGAGCCAATTTCATTGTCTCCAACATACCTACCTCTTTTACCCTAATCACAGTGTCAGTCAATCTCATCCAGGGTCTTTCTCTTTTGGCTTTCCTTCCACCCTTCCAAGCATGATTCTCCAAGGACTCATTCCTCCTGACAGCATGTCCAAAGTATGTGAGATGGAACTTCAAAATCCTTGCCTCCAAGGAGCACCTTGGTTTCACTTTTCTCCGGGACAGACCTGTTTGTTCCCTTAGCCGTCCACAGTATGTTCGGTACTCTTCTGCAGAACCTCAATTCAAAGGCATCAATTCCTCTTCTGTTATCCTTAGTCATTGTCCAGTTCTCTGATGCCTAGCAAATGCTTTTCCTCTATTTTTATTTTTCCTCCCTCTATTGCTCTTAGGTTTATATGTATGTATGTATGTATATATATATATGTATATATGTGTGTCTATATATATATATATATATATATAGTCTGTTCATTTAATACATAGTCACCTGTTCATATGCAATCAAGTCAGTCCTTTAACGTTGAACTATCTTACTTTCTTAGAATAAATTCTACGTGTTTAGGATGTACTTTCCTTTTTTTGGTTGGAGGGTTATTGCTAGAATTTTATTGAACTCTAATATTTTAAGTTTGATTCTTATATTTTGCTAAGGACTTTTATGTCTGTATTAAAGTTAATGGCTTATTATTTTCTTTTATTTTTTTATTGTGATTTTAATGAATATTTATAGAAAATTTGGATTTTCATTTATTGATTGTTGCACATTTTCCTCCTGACACACCCCAATTAACTTTTTTTTTAAAGAAAAACAACCATTCATTGTTGCATAAATGATTTTTTTTTAGAACTTAATTCACCTTATTTGTTATAGAAAATCTACTATGTGGTGGGCACAGCTGGAGCCTGAGTCCTCTGCACGGAGACTCTGGTGTGAGTCTTTACAAGATGATCTGTGAATTCCTGGTAGGGAGACTTAGTGACTGTCTCTTTCCAGAGATCTGGGATCAAATAGCTGTCGGTCTTTGAGATGGCATCAAAGGTGGCCTTAGCGAAGTTGCCCCAGGTAGCTGTGCAGCCCCTGGCTGAGGTATAACAGTCATCAATTCCAGCCATCATCAGCAGCTTCTTGGGCACAGGGGCCGAGACAATTCCAGTGCCCTGGGGTTCAGGGATCAGATGCACCAACGCAGAGCCACAGCGCCCAGTCACCTTGCAGGGAAAGGTGTGAGGCTTGCCAATCTTGTTACCCCAGTAGCCACGCCGCACAGGGACAGGGGAGAGCTTGGCTAGGATGATGGCCCCACGGATGGCAGTAGCCACCTCCTTGGAGCACTTGACGCCTAAGCCAACATGGCCATTATAGTCTCCAATGGCGACAAAGGCCTTGAACCTGGTCTGCTGGCCAGCACGTGTCTGCTTCTGCACTGGCATGATTTTCAACACTTCATCCTTGAGGGACATGCCCAGGAAGAAGTCGATGATCTCAGACTCCTTGATGGGCAGCGAGAAGGGATAAATCTCCTCCAATGATTTTGTCTTCATATCTTTCACCAGGTGGCCCATTTTTGTGACGGGGAGCCACTCCTTGTCCTCGGCTTTGCCTCTTTGAGCTCCGCAGCCCCTCCCACGGTCGCGGCCCTGACCCTGCAGACCACTACCAAAGCCTCCCACTACCAAAGCCTCCGCGGTTTCCGCTGCAGGCTCCCATCCCAGGGCCCCCAGGGCCTCCAGGCCCTCCCTCTGCACCTGCGTCATCCACCATTTGGTGTTTTCTCAGAGAAGAAGGATTTTTTTAAGTAATGTCTTTGTTAGGATAAACTGGTCTCATAGAAAGTATTGAGTCATAATCCTCCTTTTTTTAAAAAAATTCTTTTATATTGGTTTGCTTACAAAGTTTAAATACATTGTATTTCACACCATCTGTCACATTATTTTCACATTGTCCTTCATTCATATTGTGTTTCATATAATCGTTTCCATTCATTATGTTTTATAAAATTAATCATCATTGAACTATGCCCACCATTACTCCGTTTTTCCAGATCCCCATTGGATCGTTCCTTTTTTTTTTACCCATCTCTTCCTCCACCCACCAAGTTGCACGAACATATGGTTCTCTGTTGCCCATCCTCACCCTTCTCCTACACTACCCACCTTGGATTCTCATACATGTTTTACTAGTTATCTATTTCCACAATAATGGTCTTACTCAATGTTTGTCCATATGAGACAGAACACTCCAGTCTCTCCCACGTCAGGTAGTAATTTTCAAAATTGTTTCTCCTGATTGCTGCATAGTATTCCATCTTGTGACTATACCATAATTTCTCAATCCATTGCTTGTGTAGTTGGACATTTGGACTGTTTCCATAGTCTCGAGATTGTGAATAATGCTGTTGTGAACATTGGTAAACAAATCTCTGCTTGTATCTCATTTCTAATTTTCTTGGAGTACATTCCAAACAATGGAATAATTTTTTTGGAGTACATTCCAAGCAATGGAATAGTTGGCTTATGTGGAATTTCTGTGTTCAACTTTTTGATGATGCACCAAACTGCCTTCCAGAGTGGTTGTACTGTTTCACAATCTACCAATGGTGTATGAGAGTTCCTATCTCTACATCCTCTCCGACAGTGATTGTTTGCTGTCCTGTTAAACTTTGCCACTGTTCCTGGAGTGTGAGATGGTACTTCATTGTGGTTTCGATTTGCATTTCTCTTATTGCTAGTGATTTTGAGCATTTCTTATGTGTCTGTTGGCCATCCAGATGTCTTCCTCTGAAAAGTCTTTACATGTCTCTTGCCCATTTTGTAATTGGGTTATTAGTCTTTTTCTTGTGGTGGCCATGCAATATTCTGTAAACTTTTGTTATGGGACCCTTATCTGTGATGGTATTGCTAAATATTTTTTTCCCAGGCAGTAGTTTTTCTTTTCATTCTATTGCAAAGTTTTTGCTGCACACAGGGATTTAATCTTTAGAAGATCTCGTTTATCAGTTTTATCCTCCTGGTTGTATATTTCTGGCTGTATTTGTCAGCTTTTTTATACCATGGGCTAGGCTTTCTAAGCCTAATCCCATTTGGTCTCTTAGGATCTCTATAGTTTTGAGCTTTGCCCCTAGTTCTTTGATCCACCTTGAGTTGTATTTTGTATATGATAAGAAGTGTGGATCCTTCTTCAGCTTTCTGCAGGTAGTAGTCTAGATTGGCCAACAAGAGTTTGTTGAAGAGGTTGTCATTTCCCTATTTGATAGGCTTTGTTTTCGTGTTGACTATCAATTGACCAAAGATACATGGATTAATTTCTGGGTTCTTGATTCGGTTCCATTGGTCTATGTGCCTGTCATTATGTACCAGTATTATACTGTTTTGGCTATTACAACTGTGTGATAGGTTTTGAGATCAAAGAGTGCTATGCCTCCGATTTCATTCTTGTTTTTTAGAACTGCTTTGCTCATTTGAGGTCTTTTTCCTCTCTAAATAAACTTGAGAATTTCCTTTTCTATCTCTTTGAAAAATGAATTTGATGTCTGTATTGGGATTGTATTAAACATGTAGATTGCTTTTTGTAGAACTGTCATTTTCACTATATTAAATTTTCTATCCATGAACAGGGAACATTTTTTCATTTATTTAGGTCTTTTATTGTTTCTCGCAGAAATATTTTGTAGTTTTCTTTGTAAAGGTCTTTTGTGTCTCTAGTTAGGTTTATTCCTAAGTAACTAAATTTGTGGTTGGCTGTTGCAAATTATACTGCTTTCTGATTTCCAATCTCTATGGTTTCTTTGTAACAGTAGAGGAATCCCACTCATTTTTTTATATTGATCTTGTATCCTGCCACTCTACTAAAATGGCTTACTAGCTAGCTCTTAACAGTTTTTTTGTTGAGTTCTCTGGGGTTGTCTTTGTATATTATCATATCATCTGCATCTAGTGACAGTTTTCATCATCTCTTTGCCCATCTGGATGCCTCTTATTTCCTTCTCTTGCCATATTGTTCTAGTAAATACTTCTAATGCAACATTGAATAGGAGTGATGACAGTGGACATTCTTATCTGGTTTCTGTTTGCAAGGAGAATGCTTTTAGTGTGTCTCCATTAATGAAATAATTTTTCTTTTACTTTTCAAAGAGAAGAGCATATTGGAGATGGAGGGGCAGGCAGGGAGAAAAGGGCAACAATGAATGAATGGAAATCTTAAGTTTCTGTAAACTTTCATTAAAATTAATAAGAAAAAAAAACAAACAGAAAAAAAAGAATGATACTGGCTCTTGGTTTTACATACATACTTTTCAGTAAGTTGAGGAAATTCTCTTCTATTCCTATTTTCCTGAGCATTTTAATCATGAAAAGGGTATTGGATTTTTTGTCAGAGGCCTCTTCTCTATCAGTTGCTAAGATCATGTGGTTCTTATTATTTGCTTTGTTAATGTGATGATTTACATTGTTTCTCTTATGTTGAACCATCCTTGCATATCTGTTATGAAACCCACTTAGCCATGATCACTTACTTTTTTTACATCCTGTTGTATTCTGTTGGCCAGGATTTTTTAAGAGTTTTGCATTGATATTCATGAAAGATACTGGTCTGTAGTTTGGGTTTGGTGGTTCTGGAGGGTTTTTTTGTAATATCTTTGCCTGGTTTGGTATTAGAGTTATGCTTGCTTCAAAAAATGAATGACAAAAAAAAAAAAATTAAAAAAAAAAAAAAAAATGAATGACTCTGGGAGTGTTCCTTCTTTTTATATGTATTTAAAAATAATTTCAGTAGGGGAGCTCTGGTGGCCTAGTGGCAAGGAGCTGCAACTACAATCCCAGAGGCTCACGGTTCGAATCCACCAGATACTCTGCCGGGAAAGGAGGCACAGTCTCCTCCTGTACCAGTCAAATCTGATTTGACGGTACACGCACACAAAAATAATAAAATTTAAAAAAAATAAATTCAGTAGAATTGGTCATGTGTCTTCTCTGAATGGTAGAATCCAGTGAAGCCATTTGGTCCAGGACTTTTTTTGTGTGTGTGGATAAGTCTTTTTATGACCTATTCAATTTCTTCTTTTGTGATGGGTCTCTTTCAAGTATTCTACATCTGTCCATGCCATTCTGGGTAGGGCATGACTCCTCTTTTTGAAGAAGTAATAATAATGATTTTCTTTTTAAACTTTGATAGAATTTTCTAGTGAAGCTATTTGTGGTTCCTTTAGAGAAGATTTTTTTTCTAAATTTAATTAGAAATAAGTTTATTAGAAATAAACTATTGAAGTGTTTCGTTTCTTCTTGTGTATATTTTGTTAATTACATTTTCAAGAAATTTGCCTATTTCACCGAAGTTGTTAAGTTTTTTTGCATAGTAGCCTATTTTTTAAAAATACCATTTTAATATTTTAATGAGTACTGAAATGATAATTTTTCATTCTAGATAGAGATAAGGTCAAGGCACTGGGCTAGGGGTGGGGTCAATACTGTAACTAATGCTTAACTCCACAATAAGGGATTTATCTTCCACTGCTTCACAAATTGCTTGTCTGTCAGATACTCCTCTAAATCTGAACATTCAGATTAAGACAGACTAGGAAGAAGGATTGGCCACCCACTTCTGAAATAGCA